CCCCCCCCCCCCTTTCATTAGTCTCTGTGGTTTCCAGAAGGTGATAGGGGCAGAAATTGGTCCTTAGACCCATCCAGGTTGCCCACCCCTTTTGTAACGGAAGACAGATACTTAATTTGATCCCATTACGGTGGTTGGATCCAGTTATAGTTGTACTTTGAGTATACTCGCTGCAATCAACAGAAGTCATGACTTAGTGAAAACCCACTGATTTCAGTGGATATGCTCTAAGTGTGACAGTGACTTGATCCAATCCAGTATTGTTGATGAAGGCTAAGAGGGATGCTTAGATAAGTATGGGCCTGCAGAGGTTAATACCTATCTCATCACCTTCACTAATGGTCAGACTAGCTAGGGCTGATGGAAGTTGGGGTCCAACACATCTGGAAAGCTACAGCTTCCCCACCCCTGCATTAGACCACTCTCTGGTGAAGAGCCCCTGCTGTCATGCTAACTGAATCCAGTCATTTTTTGTGTTTCCACAGTTACTCCTGTAGATGAATTGTGGGCCATTGGTCCTCCAGGGTACCTCCTTCAGCGTCTCACAAAGACTTTCCACCATTCTCACACCTTGACGAAACATACCGATGCTTCAATGGCATTTCATTGCGACGATTTTGAAGATGAGTGGGAAGTAATATGAAGTCTTCAAGAATGTAGAACAGTAAAAATAACAAAACAAAATGTGTATGGGAATCCTGTTACATGCCAGATGTCAGGCTTTTGAAGCCATGGACATATGACAGTATTAGCACTTTGGTTTAAAAAAAAACTTTAAAAAAAACACGACTTGGTTCAATAGCACCCCAGATTGTGTAGTGAGGTGTCTTGTTTTGCTGTCTCTCAGGCGGGACGGGCAATGTGGCTTCAAGAAATTGTGAGCTTGTCTTAACTGTAGCCGTTCCATTTTAAAGTCCAACTTACCAATTTAACCATATTAGCAGGGAAAACTTTTTTGATCTAGCATGCAGTCAAATATCTGTTACTACACTGGCAAGGACATCTGTTACATTAACAAGCCACTGAAATGTTTTCTTTTTTCAGCTTTCTTCCAGTGCTTAGAAACACTGAGTAGAAGGAAATGGGTACAATGTGGATGCTGATCATATTTCAACTTTGCCCTTGGCAGAAACTTATTACAAGACAACTCGGCTCTTGGAACATAGCCAGAATGGGGATGCACAGTTTGGTGCTGGGCTGAAAATATTTGGGTATCATTTTCATTTCAATCTCCAGAACTTCCTTGAACCATTTGATGGGATCAACTGGGTTTGTGTATTTGGGGTTTTTAATTACAATTTCACACATCACTGAGGAGCTGGGATTCATTCCAGTTTTGTCCAAACAACTGTTTCCCTTATACATTCAGCGAGGACGTTAATGTTCCTTGATACCTAAGAGAGGAGTAAACAGAACACTAAGGGAGGCCTCTAAAAGGGAGGGCAGTTAGGTATCATTTAGCACCACACTTTGACTGACTGAACTGTGCCTGTAACCGGAGTAGACTCTGAATTTTCTCTTTTTGTACCATAATTTAAAGTGAAAAAAGAATGTGAAAGTCATAGTAATAAAAGAATAATAAAATAAATTTATCCCATAAGAGAGTTTGTGATATTCATCAGGATTTGTCTTCACAATGGTCAGTGTTTAGCTACATTAGCTAAATGTTTTGCAATGTCTTATGTTTGAGATGTTTCAGCAGAGGTGCTTAACTTTAAAATTTACTAATCACTGCAACTTATACTTCACCAAGACTAATTTTCTTAAAACAACTATTAGAACATGCTTCCCCCCCCTCCTAGGAGTTTAAGCTTATCATTTTAAATATATGTATATATTTATTTATTTGAGGCTTCATCAGAATATTTTAGACAGCTTCTAATTATCTGCAAATGAGCCTGCTACCAGGGGTAGATGGGGTGAAGCCTTTGCACCAGAGGTGGAAGTAAAAGAACATGGGTTTTTTCTTTCTTTCTTAGGCTGCCCTATAGTCCGTGTGTTGGCAAAACTAATGCAAACCAGGAACATAATTCAGTCTGTGTATTGAGCGGCAACACTGATCACCATGCATACAGTACCTGTTTTGCAACAGTACTTACATAATTAGAGCTTGGTACCCAGTCTGCTCTTTACGTTTAGGATGACTAGAAGATCATGTTTGTTTTCCTGGGAGAGGTGATCTGTTTTGCTTGATCTCTTCCTCGTCTATATATGGAGTTGACCTCAAGAGTTTCTTTTTTTAGTCTGTCACTGGATTGTAAGTAACCCCACTGCTAAAATTTACCGAGCTCACTTGGCAGACTGTTCTGAGGAATTCCTTGGAAACGATAGCTTCAGAGTTGTGAAACAACACTCCGCACCTTGAAGTTGGAAACTCCTGATGGGTGAGGCCACTACTGTTTTGCATTCTTCCTGGCCAAATACTCACATGGGGTGGGGGATTTTTATGTATATGACACTTCTATTAAAAACAACAACCCTGGCCTAGCTCAATAGCTGTTTGTATTCTGTGTATTAGTGTGCCTGGCTTTGTTCATGCATATTAACTGGTGTTGAAAGACCTTTTTAAGCCAACTAGATTTCTTTTTGTATTATCTTACCTAGTAATCTGAACTGTTTACCATCCTTAGTTTTATTTCTGTAAATTTGTGGGGGTTTTTCATAGTGCTTTCAGATAAGTGCAATAAACTAGTATTTTTTATTTTAAAAATTATGCTTGGATGTTTAATTCTAACACAACAATACTAAATGGGTGTTGAGGGGCCCTGAAATGATTACACTGGAGCTGAAAAGATTATAATTGTTCTTTAGACCTGGTTACAGGACAATGACTGCTTTGGGCACTTTGCTGGACAATCTACACTGAGGACTAGACAGAGGGCATGTGTCCCAGTTCATTCTACTGGAGCTCTTAGCAGCTTTTGAGACCATTGACCCTGGTATCCTTTTGTGCCACCTTACTGGGATGGGTCTTGTTGGCACATTGCATTGCAGTGGCCCAGTCCTTCCTGGAGAAGCAAATCCAGAAAGTGCTTTTGAGGGGACACCTGTTCAACGCCTGTTCAAATTTGAAGATCATTTCTGTAAGATGTATAGTAGATATTACAGTAGTGAGGAAATTCTGCTGAGATTTCTGAGTATAATACAAAAGTTCTTTCATGTTGAATCAACTGATTTTAAAAGTACAAACGTAGTTCACACCATATTTAGCAGAGTACTCATTACAACATCATTGCTCTTATATGCCATCAAGTTGCCTCAGATCCATGACAGACAACCTTATGAATGATCAACCTCATTTTGCCCAAAATTAATATTTTTACACTTTCATTTCTTATGGTCATCTTTCTGTATGGTAGCCACTTTTAGGGAGAACAGTTCTTAATTTGAAAGGCTATCAGATGGTGATCGTCCTTTTTTAAAAATATTGTCCATTGAAGGACTGCCTAGTTCAGGTCACATTACTTGACCATTGAGATGCATTACATATATGTTTAAATTATAAAAATCATGTCTGCATTTGTATTTTTGAATACAGTATTATGAAAATCAGTTATTCATTTCCTCCTTTTTGGTAATGTGTAAGTGATAACCCTGTCTTGAATTAATTGGCACTAATGTACCGAAATGCATAAATAACTGTATCAGAGACTGTTCAATATGTACCAAGATCAGATTAGGCTTAAACAGTGAGGGAAAGATATTACCTCTGTAATCTTTTCAGCAAGATTTCAGAGGAAGAGGCAACAGAGTTTAGTAATGTGTTGAATGTGAAAAGTGGCAACATAACTCTCTCAGCACAGTTTTATACAAGTGCTGCTTAATCTTAGCAGTCACGTTAATATCTAATGAACCCACTCTTGTTGTTTTTATAGCTATAAAATGAATTATTCATGGTCTAGAACACTTTCCAACTAAGTATCACATTCCAGTTAAAAAACAGGTTTTCCGTCAAAGGCAAAGAACAGATAATTCACAAAATATTGGATGGCAGGTACGGAAGTGAAGGTGATACACACTAGCAGACAAGTTACTTTACCTCCGTGTGCAAAGTAGATAGATTTGGAAGTAACATAGAAGAAGAATATTCCCCCCCTATTGATAAGCAGCATGTAAAATTAATGTCTGTCTGTTGCACTGGCAGTACACCAAGAAAATATTTTTATACGATCTGTAAAATATCTGTTTTGGACCTAAACTGTGATAAAATCCATTTGCTGTATTGTACTATCAGCTTTCCTGTCATCCTTATTTGATACAGATCATTTTGGGGCTTCAAGCTGAAAAAGGATACAGTGTTTTCTTAAAGGTGTTCAAAGCAATTTCAGGAGAGGTTGGTAGGTAAAAGAGCTATCACACAAAACACAGTACATTGTGGAGGATTTTCCCTTCAATCTGTGAGTAGGGTATTTGTGTTTGTGTTTGAATGTTCTCCCATCAAAGAGAGAAACAAAGGCTTGCAAAGATAGGAAGAGTTATTTTTTTAGAAGGAATTATCTTGGTGTCCCTTGGCCTTTATGATTATGCCAGCTGATCATACCAAGCTGAATTTGACCCAACTCCAGGAGGCAGTGGAAGACAGGAGGGCCTGGCATGCTCTGGTCCATGGGGTCACGAAGAGTCGGACACGACTAAACAACAACAAATCTTGGTGTCCCTTGGCCTTTATGATCATGCCAGCTGATGGATTCTGGAACATTGACCAGAAAGGTAACTTATATCATCTCTGGAGAAAAAATACTACTATCTTCTCTCTGTACATTGATTAAGAACGTTGAGTACTTTCAGCATGGATACGTCTTCAAAATGATGACTCAAATTGCAATCTAGACTGTACAGTTCCAGAATTTAGCCCTAAAGCACCTGACATGGGGAGTCATAGCAAACATATCTGAGAACAGCATAACGTTAGCAAGCCTATATACTGTGGGAACGCTGGATGACTTTTTATATATAGGAGAGAAATAGAAGTTTCATGTTCTGTGAATGATGGCACTATGTCTGAACAACTTGGGCTGCAGCGTGACTTGAAGCAACATGATATTCAAGGCAGTAGCATTTTGCCAATTGTTGCACCAAACAGTTGAAAACTTGCTGGTTGCACCCTTTTTACCCAAAGCATAGAACATTACTAATAGATGGAGAGGGGGAATATATACCCAGCTCAGCTTATTGTAATTAATAGACCCAATAAACTCAAGAAATGCACTCAAGCTTGTTTGCAAATTTAAGTACTTAGAAATTCAGTTGAATGAACTCAGTGTTCTGAGTTGCAGCAATCGGGAACTCCAGCCCACATACCACAAATCATATGTACACCTTGTTACCCGTCCCATGAAACTGGGTTGTGCACTTTGCAGGTACTTTGCAAGCTTTTGTCAAGAACTAAGCTGTTCTCTTCACTACTATGCAGCCTGTACCTTTTAAATGCTTTAAAAAATCAAACAGTTAAGGGCTGTATGCCCCTCCCAGCCTGCCTTGTCTTGTCCCTGTCCTATTGGCCTCATTTCCTTCTCCAATGCAGCCCCTTTTCCCCAACTGGAATCTGGTCCCTGGATGAAATCTGCTCTTTTCTTAGACAGCTGCATTTCCTCTTACGAAAGAAGAATGTGAACAGGCCAGTATGGAAAGAAATGCATGTTGCTGATGCAAGGCAGGCCCTGTTAACACTATGCAACGTCTTCACTTTCCCATATTTGGCTCTGGTAGCTGTACTAGATCCTTATAAAATAAACATTCTTCATGAGCCCCATCCCGAGTGGCAGCTGAAGGCCT